TTTTTCAGTCAGAACAGCATCTGATGTGTGCTCTCAGGACCTCAGTCTTCAGCCTTGCAGCTTTAGGCCAGAATTGCAAAGCTTTCTGAGCCCTGTTAATTAAGGCATCTTTCCTGAGTCTTCCAGCAAGCTTAAGTGAAGGCCACTGATTCTGGTTCTGTAGCATAACAGTCCCAGGTCAGCTCTGTCTCATGTCAGATCTCTGGCTCTCTGCTGCAGTGCTTTACTGTAGATCTGGCTGGCCCAGAAATTTCTGGGCCTGAAGGGTGCATGCTGCATTCTCTGTTTCTTCTTGGTGAGATTCCCAATTATCTGCCACTGAACTTGTTGAATTTAAATCCGGTAGAACGACACAATTAGTCAAGCCCCTTTTGGATTGATGAACACATTTTATTTACATGCTCCCACCCTACTATATGGTAAAGGCAAGGGCAACAGTTTAGGAAAGACATTTTCCTTCTTCTTTTTTTAAAAAATTGGAATTTTAATGAAAATTTAAAGAAAAGTTAGATTTTCATTCATTCTTCATTGCACATTTTTCTCCCTCCCTCAGTTCACTTTTTTTTTTAAAAAAGAAAACATTTATTGTTGTATAGGAAAGCCTTTTTGAACCATAGACCCACAACACTTCAGAACGCATCTCTATCCCTGTCCTCTGATTATGCCTCTTCTGGAGCTGTAGACTCCCTGAGGAGAAGGACTGAGATGAGCACTGGGTGGCACTGGAAGCTTGTACTTTTGGAATCAGATTCTTGGAGGAATGTGCAGATTGCAGAACTCACATCTTATACTCTTATAGGGAGAAGAGAAGATTTTTTTTGTGGGTGCTAGTTGACTGTACATACAATATGGAAATAGAATAATATTGTTTTTATGTGAAAGAATGAGCTGACTCCCTCTATAGTATAAAGCCAAGTCTACTTTATCCAACTCGATTTTAAAAAGAGGATGGGTTCTTAATGATTTTTGGGAAGTCTAAGCAATCTGACTAGAAAATGTACATATTCCAAAGTTCCCAGGGGAATGGTCTATTGATGGACTTTTAAGATGCAAGAAGTCTAGTAATTCACAGCATGTCCCTATTTTTGGATAGCTGAAACAAACCCATTTTGTCAAATCTTCAAAAAAAGTTTTGTTACCCATGAAAATTCTGTGTTGTGCTAATTTTGAAAGTTAAGAAGAATGATCTCAGTTTCTCTTTTGATCACCACTAGGTAGAAAGCTAGTAAAACGAAGATTTAAATAGACAAAGGAATTTTCAGGAGCAGTGACTTGTAGAGAACACGGTCTCCGGTATCACTGTATCTTAGTACTTCCAGTGTTAAAATAAACTAAAGGTAGATGGAAGATCACAACAATCAAAAAGGGACCAAACTGTTGACAGTTGACTACTAAGATCTTTCTAGAATTAAAGTCAGATAAAGAACTCTGATAAACTGAGATTTTTGGCTTTGGAACTCTATTGGATTGAACTGCTATTCTGAGAGGGCAATGGAT